ATGTAGCGCACACTGCCTCTCAAAGTCTGCCAAAAATCCATCAATCTCTCCCTCTGTTTCCACAAAATTTTTAAACGCAGCAAAAGGTACCTTTTTTCTAGCAACCACATTATTGTCATACGGTACCTCTGCTGCTGCAGCTCCTCTTTCCCGGGCTGCCTGTTGTGTTGCAACTGCTGCCTGCACACGAACCACGATGTCAGCTGAGGGGTTGGGGCCAAAATGTGCCAGCCTTATTTGTACTGCCCGGTTGAATTGTATTTCCTCGGGTGTTAAATCCAAGGTACTGGGCACGTTGACTCTTTCCATTCCCGTTGCTGCATCCATCTCCATTAGCAAAGCAATAATCTCCCGTTTCTTTAAATTGCTTGCTGACCTTCCTCGGCGTTCCAATATGTCCTTAAGTGTAGCACGCCTTAATTCCTCGTACTGCATCTCTTGTAGCTGACCTCCAATGCTGTAGGATTCATCCCGTCGCTTGCCACCAATTGTTAAGACACCTCCCGTGTCTTTAAGCCAAACCGCCGTTTAGTAAACCTTCCCCGGCTGCAGTACAGTCTCTGTTCGCTTACTCTGTAACCCACGAACCAAATGCAGGGGAAGCGGCAATCTCCCGATCGAAATCCACGAACGGCTCCAAACTCCCGAACGGCAATATACGAACTGCTAGGAACCGTCGAACAATAATATCCCCAAAGCGGCTTTCGTTCCATCCAGCAGTCTCTAAGCGTGAAGAAGAAATCCCCCCAATAACGAGACAGAAGCTCCGCATTGAGGGTCAAATAAGATCTGGGTTTACTGTGGGCTACCTGCCCGTATTTATGCAGGTCTCCCACCTGGTGGACACTCCCCTAGGGGACCAAATGGAAGACTTAAAGTACAGACAGATAGAAGGACATTTCTGACACACAGTCACATATTTTACCCACAGTGCATTCTGATTCCCTCCCCTCTGTCCTGGAGTTAATTACCAAGTAACTCAATTAACTCCAGGACAAGGACAGTCGCCATCTTAAACATGAAATAATAAAAGACACAAAAATGCATAACTACATGAAAACTGAACATTTCCCATTCGTATTACATGTCCCCAGATAGCCTGGGTCTGAGTGCATATTATTGGCGAATAGCGCTCAGATCCCACACACATAGTTCAATCGCCATGGAGTCAAAGTTCTTACAGTCCTTCGGTACACGAATGACTCCATGGGTGGGCTATCTGGGTTAAGTCTTTTGTGTGTTCTCAATCTCCCGAACGGCCGATGTTCGCATGCTTTCGTGGAGGCAGCCAGGCGTTCCCTTGTTTCAGCGGTGTTCGACAGAAAAAGTGTCCGTTTTCCGTTCCATAGAAATAGAGCCAAACACCGCTGAGCGTTCGCATGATTTAAAATGGCCGCTGCCTCGTGGTCGACATACGAACGACGACCACCCTGAGTTCGGTTTAATTGAGAAGTGTCTGCGGTTAACCACAACGTTATAATGGTGATCACTTCGTTAACCTGCAGCACACTCCTCACTTGGGTGGCCGTTCGTTCGGCGGTTTTGTTCGGGAAAAAGAGTCATTCGAATGGCTGGGCTATAGAAACCAGCCATTCATACGAACGGGGACAAACAGACGAACGGGCAAAAATCCAGCAGACAGATGGTTCTGTCACAATATGTCTATCTTTTTCTCAGGTAATATACTCTCTCATTGACTCTTCTACTAGAATTCATTTCCATAGCTGCTCTAGCAGAATATTCTTTCAGGCTACTCTTCTGAAATGTTTTCTCTCTCTGGAGTCCATGACAGAATGATCCTCACAACCTGTCTTACACTTTACCGTCTTTAACTACCTCCTCTGACAGAATGTTCTATAGATCCTCTGACAGAATACTCTCCACCTTCTCTGAATGAATGCTTTTCTAGTTCCCTGGTTGAAAACTCTGAAGCTACTTTGGCAACATAATGCTGCTCCAGTAGCCAATCTCTGATCTTTACATTTCATATTGTATTATGGAAATGAAAAATTAATGAGAATGGAGATTTACATGTTACAGTTTGTGATCAGTGTAAACATTGATATCACATGACATTTGTGTATTACCACAAACATGATTGCACATTCAGTTTCTCACCAGGCAGTTAATGGAAGCTGCATTTCAAGAATTATCTTAAATATCATCATCCTTCTCCATAGGTCAAAATATGTCCACCAATCTAGGTAGAATAGGAAGTTCAATTAGTGTGAAGAAGGAAAATAAATCATCAATGAATGACATTGTCTTAGTAAATAATAAAACAAGTATCCCTCAAATGATGCTTCATACGTCTAAATTCATGACATCAAAGCATCCTTCATAAACTGGTGCTATTTAAATGTGTCTGCAAGTGTTAGGAAAGGTTCCACTCATTCAATTATACATGTAGACAATGGGTCATATAATATATTTTATTATTAACAGCTCTTAAAGGGTCATAATATTTTAAACCTATGATCTTTTTAAGGAGCATATCATTGTAGATTTGGAGAAAAAAAATGTAGATTGGAAGAAAAATGCTTTAAAAATAGGTATCTCTCCTGCCTATCAATCAATTCTTTGCATGTGAAATTGGATCTTATCTATACTGCAATCACAACACAATATGGAGCAATAAATAAAATAAAGTGTGTTGGGTTAAGAAAATGTTGTGCGCTAAAGATTCAATTATAAAGTGCTAATTATTATTTATAAAGTGCAAGTATATTCCACCCTGCTGTACCAAGAACAGACAAGACATACAAGTAAATTCAAGACAAGATTTACTTACCTAAACAAGGGGTAGTATGGGTGTCGCTAAAATAAGCTTACATTTTAAATGATTAAAGGAACACCTTTATTCCTTCCAGATCAGGATAATTGTGAAAATAACAATGTATACTTGGTCCCGAAAAGGTTCATAATTAGTTTACAATGCATGGATCATAGTAAATATGGAGATGTTTTTATTTTCCCCCAGAAGGTATTAATGAAGGTATCAAATAGCATGAATAGCATGAATAATACAAAGTTACTGGTTCGGATGCCATTCTTCTATTAGGTACCAGAAGTCCACAAAGAGCCAACACTAGGATCTGGTATTGCAGATGCACATATTTATCATCTACGGGGCAATTCAAAATCCAGTGTTTAGTAAATAACGCTGTAGATGATGAATCTGAGCATCTACCTCATCAAACGACTGAATTTCGACTACAGTAGCAATTCTCGCTTTTACTGGAGCCCAAAAACTGTTGAAATTTGGTCAGCCAGAGTAAACCTGCAGCATTCAGTGTCTAAATTAGAACCAGTGTTCTAAATATTAGAAAAGCACTGGTTTTAATAAAAATTAAGAAAATCCATCAGGATGAACATTCGCAAATTATTGTTCACTTGCTTTGTATTGTCAATATAATCCAGAGTACAGTAGGTGAACAAGACAAACATTTAATTCCATCAAAATAAGTATGACATACAGGAACAGTAGATGAAGAGAGCAAATATACAAAGAGAAGTGATGGAATCAAATTATCTACATGCTATGGGGACATCTTCTCAAAAGTATGTTTGTGGGATTTTTGAAGGACTGCAGAATCTGGGAGAGATGGATGTCTCGCAAGAGGGCATTCCATAATGAGGAGACAACCCTGGAGAAGTCCTGCAGGTGAGAGTCAGAGGTGTTGATGTGAGAATTCGACAGTAACAGGTCGTTGGACAAGTGAAGAGGCCGTGCTGGAACATACTTGCTAATGAGTGAAGAGATGTAAGTAGGAGCATGGTTATGAAGAGCTTTGTGAGTACGCATGAGAACTTTGGACCAAATCCTAAATGGGAGCCAGTGTAGAGACTGACAGAGGGGTGAGGTTTGAGAATACCAGGACGTAAGGTAGATGAGTCTGGCAGAGGTGTTCATTACAGACTGTAGAGAGGCAATCTGTTCACTTTTCAGGCTGACAAGCATAGTTTTACAATAATCAAGGCAGGAAACAAGAAGAGCATGCATAGGTGTCCTAATTTCATTATGAGTGAGAAAAGGGACAGATGCGATAAATGTTTTTAAGGTGGATGCAACTTGGTGATAGATTTTATGTAAGGAGTGAAACAACGGACGGAGTCAAAGAGCACAAGGATAAATGACAAATATAAGTACATTAAATAAAAAAAATAAAAAATAATAATTAACTAATAAATTTAAACCTTATGGGAATCAATAAGGTGGTGGCATATGTGCTAAATATTTAAAAGTAGAAACTGGGACATTTCTGTACAGAAACTAGGAAGGCCTCGCTCCGCTGGTATAGGGACTGTGAAATAAAACAGGGGGTATAGTCCCCCCTCCCATGCCCCCACCTATGTGCTTCAAGTGGGGGACTTTAAAATACATTATGGGGGTGTACAAGGATCTGTCCACCCACTATTATTTATTTTAAAGTCCTCCAAGCTGTTTAATAAACTAAAATGGGGGGTAGGGAGGGTTAATTCCCATCCACCATCACCACCACTAGGTTACCCCTTATATCACAATAGCAACCAACTGCTGACCATGGGTGAAGGCAGGGTGGGACATTGGATCTGTGATCTGTCCTCTCCCCATTATTTATTTTAAAGTTTGAGGCCCACGTGTAGGTAAATAAGAGAAGGCCATGATAAAGCTTGATAAAGCTGTGTATCTCAAATAAAACTGCTTAATATACACCCTTGAGTGCCTGGACCATCTTGTTTTTTACTATTTGACTGAGATTTTGCTCACCTCAGGTCCAGTTAAGCAGAAGAGAGAATAGATTGGAAGAGAGTGTACTTTTCCTACATCAGTTTCTCCACATATGAAAGTAGAGGAGAGGCAGGAGATGCGATGATTGTCTAGGATCTTATCTGAACATTTCTCCTATTCTTTTTCTTC